GTGGGGAAGGGCTATATGTTGCGTTGGTGAGACCCATGGCGGTCCAGGCGTATAAGTCACACAAATGGGCCGATTTTCCTGTATTTTTTTTCGCACGTTTGGGTGTTTTGTTTTGATTTTGGGGGCATGCGTTCGGCCAACCTAAGGGCCAATCTTATTTCTTCTCTCCTTTACTGTTGGGAAATTTTGTGTGAGATGTTCAATGGCTTCTCGCTGAATTTAACAGCACGATTGTGGGGGGAGGAACGGGACTTGGTGGCATGCACAATGCGCGTCAGAAAGGATCTTGCTGAAGTAGCTTCAGAAAAGGAGCCTCTTCGGCTGAGTCCTTCTTCCTCTTCCACCGCTCCAAAGTGGTCTCCTCCTCTAACCTGCATCCTCCAGGAGTTCAGGAGCTGCCTAGGACTCAGCTTGAGACCCCCATCAGACAGCACCAACCTTGGCTGAGGTCTGCAGAAGACGACGCAATGCCTAGGCCAGCGTTTCTCAACCTTGGCCACTTTAAGATGTGTGGACCTCAATGCCCAGAATTCCCCTGCAAGCTTGTGCTTGACCACTGCTGTTCAGACACTCCCTGAGGCTCCTCCTTTCAAAGCCCGTCTTCTGCCAACCCGGATCTCACCTGGAACTGAAAGCTCGTGCCCTGCGCTTGGCCTGGCTCATCCCCCGCATTGGCACAGACAGGCCCCATATCAGCCACCGCTTTGGAAGCAGGTGCCCTGCCAACCCACAACCTCTTTTGCCTCGTTCGAAAGCATTTGAAAGGCTAATTTGGCACTGCGAGATCAAGGGCAGCGGGAATACACAAGCATGCATCTCTCTTAAGAATGTGGAAAAACAGATCGCCCGTGTCCAAGGGGGCAGGAAGACAGCCAGGGAGGTGAAGCCAAACTGAACCAACCAGCCAGAAAAACAGTAGGTTTATTAAACCCCGCACGGAAACCCGAGGCAGTAAAAGCAGAGGGACTAGGGTCTAAAACTTCAGATGGACTGTCACAGGCGGAGTTGCAGAAACATCGCCTGGGAAGAAAGAAGGGAGAACGTCTCTTGCCTGAAGACAGGCCAAGGAGGACTCGTACCTTTGTTTCTCTAGGCAAACTCAGGGGTCCCGTCCCTTTCCTTGCTCTCTCCAGAGATAAGCTAGGTATAAACATGAGTTGCAGGCTTTAAAAAAAAAGACCAAACCGTCACTAAAGAAAGAGGAGCGCAGGACACTGCCAACTCATGAGCCGTGGAGCTCTAGCTCTCGTGAACGGAGAGAGGTTGTGGAAAGCACGGGCAACATCCCGTAAAATCGCAGAGGAACAGAGTGAGTTAGTACTATCTGGAACTGAGTGACCCCTCGCATAGCTCCTCTCTGTTTCTTCCTGGACAACCAGAACTGGAACGCGATGTTTGCATCTCAGAGCAGAAGTGAGGAAAGAAGGCTTGCTTCATTTTGCACCATCGCTGCCCTCCGCAGCTTTTTCCTGGCCCCGACTTTTGGCTCGAGTGGCCGCTCCAGCACCAATGCAAACGCACATCAAAGAGCAACCCGGCTGCCGAGGGCAGGATGGGGCAAGACCCGTCCCAGAGGTTGCCGAAA